AGGAATCAAATAAGTTCAAACCTTCCAATTTCATGAGATCTTTCCCCCCCTGAAATGTTGGAAGATCTGACTGAACTTTTTGAAAACTGGTAGTCACATGGTCTTCTTTTGTTGCCCTGCACACAGGAGAATGGAACTGGAAAGCAGGTTAGTGAGGGAATTGTGGTTGTTCTGGGACGGGGTGGAAGTGAGGATTTTGCATTATGATTGCTCATAATGTAAGTAAGAACCAGCAAAAGAGGAATGGAAAAATTCCTATCTATAGATCAGCGTTTTTCAGTCTTGGCAAGTTTAAGATGCTGCCTGCGGAATTCTGGGAATTGAAGTCCATGCACCTTAAAGTTGCCAACATTGAGAAGCATGGGTCTACACTAGAGTTTAAGATTTTCCATTCATGTTTTATTTAGAGTTTGGTGCACTTAAATAAATCAGTTGTGGTTTCCTTAACAAATAGTGATTAAAGCGATATGAACCATTACTGGTCTTTTTGTGAGAAAATGAAATTAAAAGTTGATCTGGGCTTTGATGATTAGATATGGGATTATGGAAATAATGTCGATAAATGATAATCTTAGAGTAAGAGTATGGTATATTTTTTACTTACATCTGTATCAAAGAAAGTTGGAAATCATTCTTTTTCGGTTTTCCTTCTTTTCTTTCTTTCTTACACTTTCACTCTTTTTCTTTCCTGAGCCTTTTCTTTTTTCAAATCTGTTTTTTATTTGTTTATCCCTTAGCTCTGTATTTTTTTTATGTATGAAGGATCAAATACTCAGCCATTATAATTCTACATTCCTTATTTACAGAAATTATATCAAAATTTAGAATGAAGTCCACTGGGAGCCACCTCATATAAGGCAGGCTCTGAGTCCCTCTAACCACAAAGTGTTTATCGACAGAAGAGAATATTTGTAGCTCAGGGTTGAACTTGGTGCTCTCTGAGCTTGATGGTTTTCTTGCAGATGTTTCATTACCAAACTAGGTAACATCATCAGTACTAAAAGGGAGTGGAGTTTGCTCTTATTTTCATATACTAGTGGCTTACCCTGTTAGTGTTGATCAGTTGCTTCACAAACAGTGTTTTGATTGGTGCCGAGTCTCAGGCAGAGAAGGGCTATTCTGTACCCCTCCCTCAAATGTTCTTTAAAATACAGAGTTTCCCAGCATTCCTTTAGGAACCTCCAACATGCAAAATGGTTACTCATCCTAAAATGAATCCTCTTTTCCTGGAGCTTCAAAATTTGCTGTTTGCTTGGAAGGTGTGTAGCTAAAAGTCAGTCTACATTTAGTGTACATCTGGCTTTGGGGATATTTCTTCATAATCAAACAAAAGTGTATTTCTGTATAGTTCACACCTCTTGCTCACACGCCCTGGCCACATCCACCCAGCCATGCCCATGCAGCCGGTCATTAGGTCAGAGAACCGGTTGTTAAATTATTTGAATCCCACCACATATTTTTTATGTGGCTTAAAAGCTGTATTGTGTATTGAAACATTTTTCATTCTGTATGCAAATTAATACAATCACAATTTTTGATGACATATAAATGACATCCTAGCACAAATAATACAATATAAATAGTCTTTGCGTTCATGTACGTTTATATCACAATGACAGTTATTTTTTGTATAGTGCTATAAGGTTTTGATGAATAATATTTAAAGAAATATGTCAATGTTACAGTTAACATCACGATGTAGAAAAAATTGTTCCTATAGTGTTATTTAGAAGAAAAAAAGCACATCAATATGCATTGATACTCAGGAAAGGATAAAGTCATGATATTCCAATCCTCTTTCCTTTCCAAAAGTTGTACAGATCTCTTTATGACGTAATAAAGAAAAAAATAATACAAATGCACAAAAAAATTACTCTGAAGTTACTATGACTCCTTCATACAGGAGCCTCTGTGGCGCAGTGGTTAGAGTGCAGTACTGCAAACCACTTCTACTACAGCCAGCTGCCTACAATTTGGCAGTTCAAATCCCACCAGGCTCAAGGTTGACTCAGCCTTCCATCCTTCCAAGGTGGGTAAAATGAGGATCCAAATTGTTGGGGGCAATATGCTGACTCTGTAAACCCCTTAGAGAGGGCTGTAAAGCACTATAAAGGGGTATATAAGTCTAATAGCAATAGCTATTGCTATTGCTATTACTCTGTACATTAAGAAATAATAAAGAGATAATTGATAATGGTTAAATAACAAAAATGGAAGTTAGAAACAGGGAAACAAAATAAAGAAGATATGTTAAAAGAGATACACAAATATTATGATTAGTATGTTGAATATTATTACTTTAATATTGTAGAATTAATATGTGGAAGATTACTATTTTAATATTGTAGAATCAATATCAATGTAATTAATGATGTTACAGATTTTGATTACTATTCAACAAAGATGACTGTTCAACTGAAGATGGAATTATGATATTAAAAATAAAAAAATTAAAGAACAAAAAATGAGATAATTGTTGAAAATGAAAGCTGAATGACATGTTACTTGAATGCTTTGTAGGCAAGACCATGCATGCTTGTTTTTTGACTAAATAAATAAATATTTGCCGTAGATATACTCACCTGGTTGCACTGTCTCATATTTCATTTCATGAAGCCATGTTAAGGGAGAAACAGAAAACAAACCTTCTAAAACCTTGCAGACAGGCATCAGAAATTGAAATAAGTAAGAAATTCATCATCTTGTGGCATATAAATGTTGATTGCCTGTAAATGTGCTCATACACACTGTAAAGTTAATATTTGTTAAATATTATTTGGTAGTCTTACTCTATATATTAGGAGTGGATTAAAAAATGAATTAAAATTAGATTGTGTAAAACTGAATAACATTTCAGTGTGAGGATTTCAGTGCATTGGATTTCATCTGTTATAAATTGTCATTTTGATTGTGGACATTAAAAACGATATAGATTTCATTTTCAATATTTATCAATCATTGTAATAGTCGGGTTTTGATAGTATACATAATCTTAGCAAATAGATAAACAATGGCACACCAGAATATTCCTTCTATTTGATACAGAATCTCACTTAGTAGGATAGTTATTTTTGTATATCAAAAATGGCTGCTCTTGCTTAATAGGATTTTTAATATGTGCCTCAGGGGACCCAACTGCAACTGTGTACCACATTTCAGCTTGTTTCTTTAAAAAAAAAATCTTAAAAAATCTAATTTATATTTCCTACTTGGGTTTACTTAATCCGTTTAAAGATTGCCCAATTCACAAAAGATGGCACTAGATATCTATTGTTAAAAAACAACCAAAATAAAAATAAAAACAATAATTAACTGGTGCCAACTATAATCATTATCCTAAACCCGGGGTCTTCAAACTTGACAGCTTTAAGATTTGTGGACCAACTCCCAGAATTACTCCTCCAGTCATGTTAGCTCAGGAATTCTGGGAATTGAAGTTCACAAATCTTAAACTAGCCAAGTTTGAAGACCCTTGCCCTAAACCATTATATATGTAACACCCTAGTCCAATGCCTGGTAGAAGAGTCAGGTTTTCAACACTTTGTAGAAGGCCATCTGAACCTTGGGTTAAGTGGTAAGTTACGCTGTTCCAAAGGGTAGGTATCATGACAGACAATGCCTTCTGGTCCCATCAGGTAAAGTTGTTTGATAGAAAGATTAGCGCAGGCTCCCGATTGTCAGATCTTGAGGGATGGGCAGAAGACAGACACTCTCACAAATAACCTGAACTATGAAGAGCTTTATAGATCGTAAATAGTACTCTTCTAGAAACCTCCTGGGAGTCTCATAAAGTAGTAGTGTTACCTGATCATACCATGGCCAATCACTGCATTCTAGACTAGTTGCAACTTCTGAGTGACCTTAATGAGCAAACCCATTTAGAACATGAATGACCATGCCTTAGGCTCCTGATTCAAGAATGGACATAATTGGTGCACAAAATGTCATAACTGCCATTTATTCTTCACGTGGAAACTAAAGACTGACAAATTGTGCACTTATAACTCCAAAGACCCTCAGGAGCAACAGGTCAAACTTCCTCAGGAGCAACAGGTCAAACTCTTCCTAGGTAACCCAAACAGATCTACCCTGTTTCTCCAACAATATGGCCTCCCCCAATAGGAAGTCCCAGCATGTTTTATAGGCATGAAATGAAATTAAGCCCCTCCCCCCAAATTAAGGCCTATATTAAAACATGCGAAATGGGGGGGGGAATGGTGGGGGGGCTTGCCGTTAGGAAGTACTTTTGTTGCACACCCGGATATGGTGCTGCCTGCGTTGACCCCAATACGAACTGCCCCACCAACGCCGAGGTCAACATCCAAGCCGTCGCCGCCCGCCCACCCGAAGATGCAAGGGGGGGGGGAATTAAGTCACCCCGGAAAAGACAGCCTAGCCATTTTTTCGGGGCTCAAAAAAAAAAAAAAGACCCAGCCTTATTATATGAGAAACACGGTATCTCATTCAGCTATACAGGAACAAATTTTAATTGATAATAAATCTAATAGATGTGTTAAATTGATTTCTCAAAAGTATTATGGATGTTTCTCTGGCCCCTTTAGTTAGAGGGTCTGCTCACTTTGAACAGGGCCACTAGCCATCTATCTACTGACAAGATAAGAGGAAAAAAATTGACTACAAAGTAGAAGTAGCATTCTAAGTTGCTTCATCTTCCTCCATAAATTGGGGAGTTTTTCTGGTAGCAGGCAGACTGCATTAGTGAAAACTGATTCAAGGCCATTGTTGCCCTCTAAACATCAGCTAGAGTCTCAGAGCCTTCGAAACAAGTCCAAGGTTTCCTCTAAACCTAACAGAGATGATTCAGCATTTGAACTAATAAAAGGTTAACCAAAAGAATACTATTCCCAAGGCACTATTTATTCTAGTGCTGGTCCTGGCTCATGTTCTTTCAATCTAATTTAAAACAAGTCATTCTATAGTTCAGAAATTTGTGGACAAATAATTTGTTTTAATTTAGCTTTGCTATTTTTTTTCAACAGGGAATGCTTTTAAAGAGAAGTGGCAAATCATTAAATAAAGAGTGGAAGAAGAAATATGTTACTCTTGGGGACGATGGTGTATTGACCTACCATCCAAGCTTACATGTAAGTATGCATGCATAGATCAAGTTCTATAATCAAACTTAGTCTACAAAAGAACAACAATCCTATCAATGAAAAAGAACAGCCTAATTAATAAATAACATTGGAATTTTACAATTATAGAGTTTGTAATCAACTGGACTCTGCCCAAAGTAACATTTAAGGGAGATGTGCAGTGTAAAAATGTAATAAATAAACAAATAAAAATATAATATACTGTGAAGTATCATCAAAAACAAGAAAAGATTAAGATTAAGGAGCTGATTTGCATTATTTATTCCAGTTGAAAGATGCCTTTTTAGTTGAAGTGGTGGGGTGGAGGTGGGCTATGCAAAAATTATTCCTCATTATTGGTATTGTAATTGTTTAATTTTATTTTCTTAGCATACACAAAATAATATATCAATAAAGGATTACTTGGTTTACATGAGGATTACAATCCATTTGTTTATTTCTAATAATGATAATGAATGAATGATAATGAATTAGACACACAAGGAATTTGTCTCGGTGCATATGCTCTCAGTGTACATAAAAAGAAAAGATACATTTGTTAAGAATCATAAGGTACAACACTTAATATAATAGGGTACAAATAAGCAATCAAATCATACTAGGAAACAGTCAATATAAATAGTAAGGGTACAAGCAACAAAGTTATAGTTAAACAATCACAAGTGGGAGGGGATGGGTTTTAGGAGTGATGAGAAGATTAATAGTAATAGTAATGCAGACTTAGTAAATAGTTGGACAGTATTGAGGGAATTATTTGTTTAGCAGAGTGATGGTGTTTGGGAAAAAACTGTTCTTGTGTCTAATTGTTCTGGTGTGTAGTGCTCTGTAGTGTCGTTTTGAGGGAAGGAGTTGAATCAGTTTATGTGCGGGATGTGAGGGGTCTGTAAATATTTTCACAGCCCTCTTTTTGACTTGTGCAGTATACAGATCCTCAATGGAAGGCAGATTGGTAGTAATTGCTTTTTCTGCAGTCTTAATTATCCTCTGAAGTCTGTTTCTGTCTTGTTGGATTGCAGAACCAAACTAGACAGTTATAGAGGTGCAGATATTTTTCCTCTGTAGAACTGTATCAGCAACTCCTTGAGCAGTTTGAGCTTTCTTTCTTTTTTTGGAAAAAAGTTTTATTATTTCTTAAGACAAACGTAGACAAACACAACATAAAAACATCAAGCCATCTTCCACATATATACATACAGTGTGTCGGTTGGTTTACAAATTGTTTTGTGCATCCACTTCATAGTCATCACTTACAATTACATTGTATATATTCTCATATTGTCAATCAAATATTCCTAAATACATTAATATCATTGTTAATCAATCATTTGACTATTCTATTATTCATTCATGTTTTATGAGATAATCCATATTTTACTTGATTTGTTTTATGACAATTCATATTATCATCCCAAATCTATCCTATAATTATATTGTAGTTATGAAAAAAATAATACATCTTTATATATTCATTATATTCTAAAAATCTACATATTTCATTACCATGTTTTATTGTCTAACCATTGATAAAATAAATCCCAAATCTTATAAAATTGTTTATCTTGTTCTCTGATTTCAAATGTCAATCTAGTCATTTTAGCACATTCCAATATTTTCTTAATAACTTCCTCCTGCATTGGTATTTTCTCATTTTTCCAGTTTTTAGCAAATACAATCCTAGCCGCTGTTAATACATTTACAATCAAATATTTCAATTCCTTACTGTATATTTCAGGTAAAATTCCCAATAAAAATATCTCTGGTTTCAAGTCTATATGCTTTTTTGTCATTTTTTCCAACCATGTGTGGATTTTAGTCCAGTATTTTTTAGCATCCGCGCAAGTCCACCACATATGGTAATATGAGCCAGGTGTCTGATGACATTTCCAACATTTTTCAGATTTGTTCTTGAACATTCTTGCTATTCTTGTCGGGGGGGAAAGTGCCACCTGTAAAACGTCTTATACAAATTTTCTTTATATGCTGTTGACATTGTCATTTTATAATTTTGAGACCACAATTTTTGCCATTTCTCTAAATCAATCCCATATCCAAAATTTTCCCCCCAAGCAATCATTATTTCTTTGACTTGTTCTTCTAGTTTAATTTCTAATAAATATCCATACAATTTTTTAATCATCTTTTCATCAGTACCTGTCAAAACCTTATCTAAATCAGTCAATTTATCATAGAAACCTTCTGTTTTAGAATCTTCATCATACTTTGAATGTATTTGCGCATATAAAAACCAATTCATCTTTATACCTTGTTCCTCTAGTTTTTGCATAGATTTAAGTTCACCCTTTTCATTCAATATTTCACCATATCTAACTATTTGTTCCTTTTTATATATTATAGGATAAGAAAATGCTTCAATAGTTGATAGTCAGACTGGAATTTTCAAATAACATTGCCTTTTAGTCTTCTACCAATTTAACCACAGAACCTCCCGTAAAGAATGTCTTCTAAAGTACCCCTGTGTTTTAGTTCCTTTATACCATAGGAGGGCATGCCACCCCAACAACAGATCATGTCCTTCTAATGTCAACAATCTAGCATTTCTTAATGTTATCCATTCCTTAACCCACATCAAATTTGTAGCTTGATAGTACAACTCCCAATTAGGCAAACCAAATCCTCCTCTTATTCTAGCATCTTGCAAGAGTTTTAGTTTTATTCTTGCTTTCTTACCTTGCCATATATATTTCAACACAATTTTATTTAAATCTTCAAAATAATCTTTTCCAAGCCTAATTGGAATTGTTTGGAACAAATATAAAATTCTGGGTAAAATATTCATTTTGATTGTTGATATTCTCCCTATTAATGACAATTGTAAGTTTTCCCATTTCGCCAAATCTAGCGCTATCTGCTCCTTGGGTTTAATACAGTTATTCTCTTTAAGTGTGCTAGATCTTGCTGTCAAATGTATCCCCAAGTACTTGATCTTATTTGTGACTTGAATGTTCAAAACATCCACCAATTCTTCCTTTTGTCTTAATAACATATTCTTTGTCAAAATCTTTGTTTTGTCTTTATTTATTTTCAAATCAGTCTCCTTTCCATATACCTCTATCTTTTCTATCAGTTTTAGTGCTGTTTCTAGTGGATCTTCTAAAATGAAAACCAGATCATCTGCGAATGCTTGCAATTTAAATTCTTCCTTATTAATTTTCATCCCTTTTATATCCTTTTCTTCTCTAATATTTCTATTTAGCACTTCCAAGGTTAACACAAACAACAAAGGTGACAGTGGGCACCCTTGCCTTGTTCCTTTTTTTATATCAATAGAATCCGTCAATTCTCCCTCTATCATTACCTTTGCCGTTTGTTTGTGATATATAGCTTCTATTGCATGGATAAATTTTTTACCAAAGCCCATCTGTTCCAGCTGTAATAACATAAATTGCCAATTCACATTGTCAAATGCCTTCTGTGCATCTAAAAATATCAAAACCATTTGTTTTTCAGGGTGTGCCTCATGGTATTCCAAAGTGTCCAAAATTACTCTCATATTGTCTTTAATTTGTCTCTTTGGCAGAAATCCATTTTGGTCAGGGTGGATAAAGTTATTTAGGTATTTTTTCAGTCTTTCTGCCAATATTGAAGCAAAAATTTTATAATCTGCATTTAGTAAGGAAATAGGTCTATAGTTTCTGATTTGTAATGGGTCGGCGTCCTCTTTGGGGACAAGTGTAATATAAGCTTCTGACCATGATTTAGGTATCCTCTTCTTTAACATAACTTCATTCATAACTTCTAACAATGGAAGATTCAACGATTCTTGTAGTGTCTTGTAAAATTCCGCTGGAAGTCCATCTGGGCCTGGTGCCTTTCCATTATTTTGCTTCTTAAGTGCTTCAGTTAACTCCATCATCATTATATTGCTTTCTAACATTATTTCAATCTGGGGTAGATTAGCATTCTTTAAGCACTGTTTAACTCTTTCATCATCAATATTTTCTTGTGTGTATAGTTTCCCATAATAATCCCGTATGATTTTCTTCTTCTCTTTACTTCCATAGCAAGTTTGGCCTTGATCATCTATTAATTGCAATATTTTCCTTGATTCTCTCTCCTTTCTCAGTTTATATGCTAACCATCTACCTGGTTTATTTGCATCTTCAAAATAGTTCTGCTTCGCACCTCTGATTTTCTGTGCTAATTCTTCTTTTTCCATTAATCCCATTTTATGTTTAATTATATCCATTTTTAACTTAATGTCCTTTTTCTGTGGCATTTTCTGTAACTCTTTTTCAAGTCCTTTATACTCATCCTCTAATGTTTTAGAGGCTAGTCTTTTCGTGATATTTCTTTTCCTTGTATAGTCTATTATCAAGCCTCTGGCATATGCCTTCATTGTATCCCATACATTCTGCATTGATGTGTCTTCTTTTTTATTTTCTTTAAAGAAAAAAGCCAGTTCTTTCTCCATTCTCTGTATTAAGTCTGTTTCTTTCAGTATAGTGTTATTTAACGTCCATCTAGATCTTCTTTGTCCTTTCCATTTAATTGTCATTAGGTTATGATCTGCCCAAGTACTTGTTTCAATGTTTATTTCTTGGAGATTAGTGAACAGTTCTGTTGACATCCATATCATATCTATTCTGGACCATGATAAATTGTCTGTTTGAACAGAAGGTGTATTGTTTGGTCTTAGCATTTCTTTCTCTCCATGCATCTTTTAAGTTTATTTCATCTATCATTTTAAAAAAGGATTTAGGGAGAGTCTTTCTGCTTTGCTTTGTTGTTTTCTGTGTTGTATAGTCCAATTTATTGTCTACAATTCCATTAAAGTCTCCCATCATAACGATATTAACATAGTCCAGTTCAATTATTTTCATATGTAATTTTCTATAAAATTCTTCTTGATTTTCATTCGGGGCATAGATTGCTATCAGGAGTGTTTTCATATTGTTATCCATTATTTCCACCTTTAAGAGTCTTCCATCATCATCCGTATGAATCAATTTTGCTGGGATAATATCTTT